AAGCCACCTGCTTGAGCTTTTTCAGGCCCTAAGTCAGCAGTTCTGGCTGAAAAGTAATGCTGCAAAACCAGTCTTGCTTCTTGTGTGACATGATGCAATATGCTGCAACAGGCTATGTCTACTGGAGCTTTCTCTTGGATATCTTTTGCTATTCCTAATGAAAATGAGAAAGATGTTCCCTTCCCCAAGTCAAAGCAAACAAGACTGTGAGATTTTAAAGTTGGAAGAATCAGAGCCTGAACACTACAGGACTTGAATCCATCCATTTCCAAATGCAATCTCTCAAAATGTGACTTCCAGAACAGCTATCGCTTGACTCATTTTCTGATATTTTCTTCCCAGACTCTGCAGGGCTGCAGTCCATTGGTTTCAAGAGCACGCAGATGCTGACATAAGATTGTAACAAGCTCTATGTTGCAGGTTTCCCTTTCTGAATTGCCCCTGGTTGCTTTCCATGCACGCATCCTGACTGCTAAGGAAGACACCTTCTCCCTTCCTCCCTTTCAGGGCAGCATCCCTGACTGCACAATCAGAGTAAGGATCATGGTTCTCAGCGTACTTCCTTGCTCCAAGTATCTACTGGTATTTTTGGTCAAGCAAGAACCCAGCCATGCTTTCCAGGCAGCGGTAGGGGTTGTCAGGCCCTGTTCTCCAACACCTTTCCTTAAATAGCATTGCTGCACCACAGGACGAAACTTGTATCTCTGGTTTGGCCTCAGGCGTGCAGACTCCTTGAGGCGTTAGACACATTAACTCCTCCTCTGCTAGCAAGCACATCTGTATCTTTTTTCTCCTCGTTTCCCAGAAGGCTCAAAAATATCATATAGGTCACAGAAGGGGATTGAACACTAGCTTCTGACTTTTCAAACAGTAAACAGGCAGGGGGTTTATCTGAAAACACACACAGAGAAGGTCTTTAAGTGTAAAGGAGTCTGTGGCATTTGGGATGCCAGCAGGAGAACTGCCCCACTCTCATACCCCCCACCTCCAGGCTAGTTCCGTGCCTGAAGCCATAACCAGCATGGGAGTTGCTGACATCAAAAGCAAAGAAAATTGCTCAGCTGTTTAGGCTGGCTTAAAGTGAATACTCTTGGCAGGTTTTAAGCCTAGAAAGGTTTTAAACATTGCATCTTTCCAGTGTGCTCCTGCCCTGCGATGACACAACGGCTGTGCAGGCAACCATGAATCCCAACTACTTGCTCCCCATGGACCCATTACGAGACACACGTCTCTGACCAAGACGTCATGGTAGGTGCTTTCTGTATACAGGGCAGATAAGATGAAAGACCTCAAGGGAGATGCACATCTCTGTCTAGAGTGACAGCATACCTTAATAGTCCAGCTTGGTGAAATCACTGAGGAAAAAAAAAAAAAAGTCATGCAGTTGTCACTTGAAAAGCAAACTTCAATATTAGCAGTACACACAGACTGCTCTCTGGAAACTGTTTAAATAGGTGGAAGTTTCAAAAATATGAAAACTTAAGCAAAACCATGAACAAGAAAAGGATGGCTAACTCAATCCTATCATTGCTACTTATGAATTATTCACTGTGCTCCAGCCCACGTGCATGAGGCACACTTTTTAACATGCAGTGAGACTCCATTACAGATGGCTCTTTGCCATCTGTGCTGAGAAGTCCCTTGGACACGTATTTTGCAGCAATCCCATAGAGAAGAACCATGCTTGGGTCAACTCATGCCCACAAAGGGAAGAAGGTTCTCTGTCTGCCTGCTGCAGCTCTAGGGTAGTCACAATGGAGGACAGAGCAATTTATGTCTCTCCTGTCTTGTGGCATTGCTCACCCTTTCTAGACATGTGTTTTCTAGTAGAAAAACACCTGCAAAATCCCACAGAAACAACAGAGGTTTGGGGATTGCAAGACGGTGACAGGGAAACCAGTCCTGTATCTGGAGCCTAAGGCCACTGGGTCCTGCATGGATTAGTCCCATCCCAAGTACTGTCAGGTCCACAAGTACTGAGGTCATTGACTGATAGTAGATATCAGCCTCTTCTTATGCACAAAATTTACTGTTTTCTTGGTGTATTTCCAAATCTGATTTCAAAAGTTCAGAGGAAGATTACATCAGTCTGAAAATGCCAGTCTGATTGCCAATGCCAATTCTTTTATTCATTATTTAAAACAGTGGAGAGATGAAGGGAGACAAATTATTCTGGAGAAAAACATATTTTTTTTCAGGAAGTAATCCCTTTGAGAGTCCAAACCAGAGGTAGTTTCTGCTGCCAAAAGCTCCTATGCCCAGAAAAGGTGGTGTGTCCAGCATCCTGCTGCCTGCACATTTTTTTGCAGTCCTGAAATGAGCATGGTCTTTCTGGGACAGAAAAAAGCCAAACCAAAAAAACAGACCCTGGCATTTCTCTGCAGTGCTGGGTTACTGAATATGTGCCAGCAGGACTCCAGTGGCCAAAACTATCCCATGGCATGCATTTTTTCAATTTTCTGCAGCCAGAAGATCTTGTAGCAGGGTTTCTCCTACTGTTGCAGTTGGCTTTGTGTCACTGACTCAACTTCATTAACCAGCTTTCATGAAAATATAATCACAACATCAGAAAACCCGTGCAAGGGAAAACAAATCAGGAAACACCAGAGCTGCACTTCTTGGTGGTAATTTCAGGAGAAAGGTGGGTGGGCTGAGACTCCCTGAAGTCCCATGTGCCCTGCCTGCTCTTACTTGAGAAAGGACTGCAGAAGGTGAGTCTTTTGCAGAGACATCCAGAATCATTTGGCATGGCCAGGCATGGACCACTATGCCTGCACACCTCATTACTTGCCTCAAAGGACATTTTTTGGAGGCACCTTAAAAAGACAGACACCCACTTTCAGTGCTTGGTAGTTTGTCTGATTTGCAAAGTCCCTCTTTACATATGCTTTATTTCTGGCACGGACAAAATGATGATCACCCAGGGAGTGTTGAAAGAGCACATCACTGGGAAGCACATTTGATGTTACAGCTCCAGCAGGCAGGCCTGGCTCTCCTCCTGAAAGAGTGGTGGGACCAGCCAGAGTGACAACAAAATACAGTCACCACTGCTTTCTTTAGACAGTGGTTTGATCGAACCTCCTGTTGAATCAAACATGAGAGCAAATGATACAATTTCAACACCACACAGTGAATTAAACACTTGTGGTTTGATCGATTAGTATCTCCCTTGATTGCAGCTCCACCGGGATAAACAGTGAAACTTGACCAGAAGCTACACCTACCCACTTGTCCTTGGCACAGGTTTGCCATTTCCTATAACAGACCTTTCAATACAAGGCTGGAGGTGATAACTGTGCAAGTGGGTTATTCTTGGCCTGATGCACAGGATACTCAGCTATGTGGATAAATCCTGCTGCAGCTATGGAGAGTTTGGGACATAACTCACAAAGCAACACTATTTCCTCACAGTCTATACTGATCAGCAATGTATCATCTCCTCTTGTGCAGCTACATTTGCTGAGGTTTATGTGGATTTAATGCCACACAGGGAAAATCCAATGCCAGCAATGAAATGCCAGTGCAAACCCACTAACAGGAAAATATACTTTTTCCAACAACAGCATTTCTAGCAACAGCCTTCACAATAGGAAAACAGTAAACAGCATTAGGACTGTGGCACCCACTGATCTGCATTTAACAAGTGCCTTTCAATGGTGCCTTACTGCCATCCTCTAATATTCCTCCAGCAGATTCCATGCCACATCTATCAGCAGCATCCCTGGCATGCCTTTATTTCCTGTCCTTGAGATATATCTGAATGATTTCTCAAACACTTCAACAATCCACTTTAATTGCCAGGGCAGGCATCTGATGAAGTGCAATACAACTGCACTTGCTGCTGGCTGCCAAGCCTGTGCATAGACACTTGGGTAGCAGGAATGAAATGCAGCCCTGCTCCAGCTAGCATTTTTCTGCTCTGCAGTGAGGATCTGCCAATCTACATCTAGATGTTACGCTGAATTGCCCACTGGGTTTCCAAGGTTTACCTTGTCTGGAGAAGGCAGGGGATGGCTCCAGTGATCTGGCAGCACAGTTCCTCACAGTTCCAAAGGCCACCAGCTCACATTACTGGAAGGGGTCCACAGTGGATAAATTCCACTGGGGAGCCCTGAACTAAATGGCAGGAAGCAAGCCAGGTAGGTAGGCAGAGACCCTAAAACACAGAGCATGAGGGACAAGAGGATAGGTCGGTCTGAGGGGCTTTACAGAAGTTGTGTGATGTGCTTGGTGTGTTGATGTGCATGGAAGGAGATATAATCATGTTTTTGCCTCCTGTCACACTTCCAAGTGACAGGGTACAATGGCAACTCCCTGCTGGTGTCCAAAGTGACAGCTCTTTTCAACTGCTGGGCAAAGGAAGGGCAGACAGATCAGAGCCCTGGACAAAGGAATAAACCAGTCTACATGATCTCAGCCTGTACAGTGCAAAACCAAGAAGAACACAGTATGCAGTGACATCTTAGCCCTACCTTGTCGGAGAAGCAGTGACAATGTACCATACCTCACCAGCCTGAGTCCAGTCACTGTAGTATCACATTGTAGAAGAGGGATCACATTTCCTAAAGTGACTCAAAACCACTTTTCTTAGGGAAACTGTTTGCAAAGTTAGAATGCTTTAGCCATTGGGATTTGTAATCAAAATGAACTCTTATAAATTTCTCTTTCCCAACAGGAAAGGCAGCTGTTTTCTTTCTGGTTTAGTGGATGGATACACAAAAATTCAAAGAAGTGGAGGTATCTTCAAGTAGTTTAGTGTAAAAGAAAAAGATCACAAATCCTAAAACTGTGTCCTGCTGAAAGGAAACATACTGAAGACTGCAGTAATTATAACCTATGAGACATAAGCACCCCCCAACTCCCACACCCCATATTTGAAGAGGCCATAGTCCAGCTCTCCATGCTGGAGACTTCCACCCGTTCCAAAGGGAGGTCCACACTCGGTCTGACTGCCTTGGGCTCCCACCCCAGACATTTCCCCAGGTTGAAGATCCACTTACCTGCCTGGTTTGTGGTTACATTTACAGACACAAACTGCCGGGCTCCGGGGTTCTGGTCGGACACTCCATTCACTGCCTCAATTTCAAAGGTATAGTTTGTATGAGCAAGTAGATCCACCATCATGACAGAGGTGTTTTTCAGGCCGGTTTGCTGGGGAAGGTACCTGACATGACCGCCACACGCCTCACACAGACCCGAGTGTGAGCTGCACTTCTTGCATGCAATATAATAAGACACATCTTTCCTTCCACCAGTATCAGCAGGGGGAATCCATTCCAGAAAGACACTAGTCTCGTTAACATTTGAGATGGCACTCCGAGGAGCAGAGGGGGGTCCTGGTTTGTAAAGTGAGAAAAACACATAGTAAAAACAGTATTATCAATCATCCTACTCGCTACTACTTTCTAAGCTGAAAAGAGATGCTCCAGGGCTCATGTGTCAGAAAGTACAATGGGATAATTTGCAGCAGCACCTGAAGAACTGGGAAAACAGGGAATTTGTTTCGAGCACTCCCATCTCACCTCAAGGGGTCTGTGTTGGGACACAGTCATCTGTGTCAGAGGACAAAACACTGGGTGGCTCAAACCCAACAGGAGGAGCACTCCACCCTGGGACACTGCCTCTGGAGCTCTCCTTGCTCTTCCTGCAAAGGGAGCAGCAAGTCCTTGCTCTGTCCAAGTCACTGTTGGCTTCACCAGGGGTAAGATTCCCCCTCTTCACCCCACTGCCCCTATATTACTAGCCCTAGGTCCTAAAAATAAGATATGCACTAGGGTTTCCACACTACTTAGGTACTCAACCCAGATGCCAAATCTTTCCTCTGTGTGTACCCATCTCTTCCCACCAACTATTTGGCAACAGTGAAACGTAAGCTCGGGCATCCAAATCACACTTCAGCGAGACACTCAGTGTAGCCCAAAGCAGATGGTGATCTGCACGGACCACTGGAAACACGGCCATATCCGGCTACTCAACAGCAGCCTTCTTGGTCCCCGCCAAGCTGCAGCACGGTTGGTTAGCCACACTGCACTTGCTTATTCTGCCAAGCCTCCCCACTCAGAATGCCAGCGTAGCTCTGGCAAGGCTATCCAAGGAGGAACAGCTGCTACAGAGGTACCAGAGCACCTGCAAAAAGTGAGCTGTTTTTCTTCATCCTGGTGGGAAAGGCTGTGGCTGGACAAGCAAAGCCCACCTGGAGACACCTTCAAGACTGCTTCCTTGAAAGCTTTTTGTTTTTAACAGCCTTGTGTTGCAGATGAAGGGCAAGCTGCAGGTACACCCTGAAGACAACGTGAAAGGACAAGCAGGAGTCTCATGCAAGAGATCCACATGTTAAGTACTCAGGGAATGCTAATGAACGAGGAAGAAAGGGGGAATTTATCAAAGCAAGCTGGGATGGATTTTAGTCACAGCACCACCAGAAGCTATACAGTAAAGACCGGTATTTTTCTGAGGGAAGGCAACACAACACACTTCCCTTCAGTTTGAATGAAGCTGTCAAAACCCATGAGCAGTTCCTTGAAAAGAGTCCGACAAGTAGCTTCATTAGCTAGAGATCCATACGAATCTAACAGGCTGTCTTAGGCTGTCATCGTTTTGTTGTGATAATTAAACTCGATTTGCTATTTAAAACAGGCAGCGTTGCAAAAATGAAATTACCTTATAAACCAGCAGCATTTTCTTCTATTTCCCTTTCCTATTCCCCTTTCTAAGTCTATACAATTGTTAACACTGATAAACTGAAACACTGTCATGATTTGGACTCAAGCTGTTCTGATGCAACGAGAAATTTGCTGACAGAGGAAATAAATAATCCTGATGTATTTTTGTATTCTTCGGAGGAAAAGCAGTTGAAGAGAAAAGCTAAGGTAGCTTAGGAAATGGTAGACCATCTTTGTTTTGTTATGTGATCTCTTCAGATCACTGTGAACGAGGAGCAAGCCACTCACAAGCTGCACCTCAGGGATCCAGTTCTACTTAGTAATGACATCAAGGTACAGCCCAAGTGAGGACTACTTTCTGCAGTGTCATAATCATAACTGATACAATGGAAACTATGAAATTCATCACTGGAGCTGTGTGGAGTTATATATATTGCACTCAAGGGTTTTTTATATGTTTTACTGGTTAAATTGCCCTATTTTTTTCTTTCACTGGATGAATGCCCTTTTGCTGATGCCAGTACTCCAGGAAAAATAAAGAACTCGGGCACAAGAAACATTTACTGGACAATGTGTCTTTAATCGGGGATAAATTATTACTTTTGTAAAGTCACCAGAGGTTTTTACTTGCTTTGTACAGAAAAGTCAGCTGCTCTTCTTGAAGGCTTAAGAAACATCAGCTTCAGTGGAAATGCTTTAAAGCCAGCAGGACTTAATAACCTACAAAATTAGCATTCTCATAGGGTGTCAGAAAAAGATCTTTAATAGTCTACAGATACCTAACAAGACCTACTTGAAGCATCCTGAAACTGTACTTGGATAGAACTTGGCTAAACCCCATCTGGGAGAACAAAAATGTGTTTTACCTTTCATTACTTATAAAACATACTTAAGGAACTGGAAAAATGAAACAAAAATGTATTCCTCCCCTGTCCTGTACTTAACTGAGCAGTTGACAGCGGCAATAAGTAATAAAAACATTAAAAAACCCCTTGCAATATTTTTCTACCAGTCATGACTCAAATCTGCCTTGCCTGTGTTTTAGTTCATGATGAGATGTTGCCTTCCAGATCTAATTGGACTGGTTTAAAACTTTAGCGTCGCTACCTACTTGTTACTGTCCCTACCAAAATTTTCTACCCCTGCCACTGAGCTGGCGTAGCACATGCCCTCCTCATCACCTTCAGCGCAAATACAGCAGGATTAGGACAAAATCCTAAGAAAAGATGCATGGGGAAAGTGAGGGTGACTGAAGCACATGAAGAAGGCTCAGATAATCCACCCTGCTTTTGGGGTTGTAAGCGTGAATGCTAGCAGAGATATTGCAACATCCTCAACTGCTGCACCGGGGTTTGCAGTGGGCAACAGAAGCTGAGCAGTGCCTTGATCAGCATTAAACCTCTCATCTGCCCCAGAAGCACTCAGGACCCTGCCAAGCCAAATCCTAACACAGCTTCAGGCACCATGCCTGCGCTTTAAACTAGCTTATAGTAAGCTTTCAAAACAAAAATAAAACCCACCCTGAAACAAAACGCCCAAATGTTAAAATCCAACAAACTTAGCCAACTGCCACCATTAAATAAGCATAAAACCCACAAAAAAAAGCCATAAAAACATAATCCCCTGGTATTTGCAGAATCGGAAATTACAGCCTTTATGTACAGGGTTCAAACTGCTGCAGAAACCTAGGGGGGAGACACACTTGAACATTGCTTGTACCTCTCTGAACATTCTGCCCTATGCTCAGGCCATAGGCATGCATAAACATCTTCCTCAGGGATGGCAGCTCCTTCCCTGTGCTAATTCACCATCAGGACAGACTGGATGCATGCCTTACATCCTGAGAAGGGGCAGAGAGCAACACCACCAGTGGTGGGCAGGAGGCACAGCGGATACCAGAGTCTGGCATAACTCTCTATCAGTTCCTGGCTTTGGTTCTGTTAGCACAGAAAAGCCAATTTTATGAGTGTTTCCAGAGCTCAGTGTGTTTCCCAGTACCATGCTGGACCACACAATCTCTCAATTATTTGTGGTTTTTAAGTCAGGCCAAGGGGCAAAATGAACATCAAGAAGCCCTGGTATTGAAGTTTTTCATGCTGTAACCCACCCTAGCTATGGCTCCAAAAGACACTGGCATACCTATTTAATAAACTGAGAAATGCTTGCATGACTCACCCCCCAGACCACTTTGATCTGACAGCACCAGTGACTGCAATGCTGCCTAAGGCTGTCTTCCCCTTCCCTGCAGCACACCTTCCAACACCCATGTGCTTCATGCTCCTTTGCCTGGTGAAAATCAAAGGCAGAGTTCAAGGGGCCCAATTCTGCTCCAAGTGCCTCCTTCAGGCAAGCAGAGAGCTGCCAAGGGCAATTTCCTTTGCAAGAGTATCTCTCCAACGGGAACAGACTTTTTCTTCCTCCTTTTGAAGTGCAAACTTGGGAAGCTAAGAAGGACACCTGTATTCCCTGGGAAAGGCACAAAAAGCCTCTACCATGCCTACACGATGCAAGAAAACAGTACTGAAGTCACCTCTGCACCACTGCACAGTGGCTCTGAGCATGCATGGACTCATAAACCTACTTTTTCCACCACTGCTTAAGTTCCTTGGAAGCTCTAACTGCAGTAGTTAGCTACTGTAGTAGAACCAATAGTTCACTCTCCTTTGGTCCCCTTTAACCCCTTCTGCACCATGAAAATTACATCTGGAGCACAACAGACCCAGCTCAGGTCTGTGCTGCACTCACCAGCAGGACTGGCTGGGGGCATGCAAATTGTGGCCCTAACTATCTGAAACATAAACTGAACAAGAGACTTTCAAGGTACAGCTGACAGGATAGCTCACAGATAACAGGGGAAGGGCAAAATTAATGACTCTGATTACACTGATTCCACCTTGGACTCCCAGTACTCCAGTGTGCTTCTTATACTGCCCCTCCACCCCTACCAAAGCGAAGAGGATAAGTACTACATTTTCGCTGCAGGTTTGCAGAAGCAGTTTCCATCACTGAGTTTTAAACTACCCTGAAGAGCGAGCATCTCCAGGCAGATTGGAAAGATAGATCTCTCTTCCTGCTCGTTTACTGAAAATGAGCTAAGAGATGATACCAAGCAGGATCATGTAGATTCTACTCCTGCCTGTTGCTGACAAGCACTGCCCATCACTCCTCCTGCGTGAGTGCCCCACACTGGTACTCATGTCTGAATGCCGTGCTGCTGGCTGAGTCTGCCCAGGAGCTGCTGGCAAGAGATGGAGCATGGTTCATTGCAACAATGCTTTCTGGGTTTGATGCCAGCTTTTGAAGCAAAAAGCTTTGAAATGTCTCCCCTCATGTAACTGGGATTACAACGGACAAAGCCAGTGACATTACAAGTGTGTCAAGACTAGTTCAAACTCCAGTCCAGAGCCTGAAAAAGCACATTAATTAGTATCGTAATGTCTAATCACAGTACAGGAACAGCTGGAAAGGATTAAAAACAACCCTATAAGCACATGCTTACTTGTACAGGCCATTGTAGGTGGGTCTGATTCCTTCCTAAAATAGTGTTCTTCACACAGGCAAGATGTGGATGCTTCATCAAGCGTGTAGCTGTGGGGGGGACATTTGCTGCAGGATGGACTGTGGGGTGAAGCTTTGAAGAACCCAGGTCTGCATACTGTGAAAAGAAGAACCACAGGCTAAGCTCTCCCATCATAAAATTAGTGTCTTCACATTTCCTCTTAAAAAAATCCCATATCTTCAACTATAAAACAGACAAACACTCGCAAGCTATTTGGTCTGCATATTTTAAAACACTAACAGATAGCACATACTTAAATATCTACATGAAAAGAGAATTAGATTATTTTTCTCCCCTAGCATCTGACATTGCTGGATATTTATTTTCCTTGTTGAATGCATTAGGGGTAACATCTTCTGGGCTCTGCTCTAGAAAACATTAGTGTGATTTTTTTTTTTCCCATTTAGTCTTAGAAAAACAGGTAAAATACAACTCATGGTTTTTGTTTAAGATGTTCTACACCCAGAAATCAACATCTTAGCAAACAAATAGCAACATGGCGGTGGAGGGGATCTCAAGACTGACGGCTTTAAGACATTGTGATAAGGCTACTTCCCTAGGGTCTTTTCCCCAGCAAACCTGTGATGAATTTTAAAGTGCTCCATATAAGACAGACTGTTCTGGCTATAGCCTGAACCAGGCATGCTCACTGTACAAGATATTCTTTCCACCTGCAATATATATGCATGACGAGGCACAAAGACTTGATCTGAGAGCTATTTTTCTTCTTACAAATATATTGCTAAGTGTAGCTTGGGATTTTTTTTTTTAATAATTTGAAGTGAATACAATAATATCTTGTTTCCAGCCTCCTGAAACACGTGCTCTTTCATCTATGCAAAGCTCTATGTACTTTACCTGTGTGCACACTCAGTCAGAAGCAGTGACAGCCACAGGTTTGCAAGTAGTGTTTTAGGAGAAAAAACACCTGGGCCTGTAGTCATACCATTATATGCAGAATTATAGAAACACCGTTAGCAAACTGAGGAAACCTTGATTTTCTGTTTGTCTCAAAAAGCAGAGGCACAGAAATATGTTAAACCAGCTCCAAAGTGATGTTACCTTTCTTCCTTCAGAGTTGCTCTAAAGTATTTCTGCCCAAGTATGGTATCAGGGATGCACAGATCTGCTATCAGATTTACAGAAGTTACCTGGAAATCCCAGAACCTTTCCATCTGCATTCAAACTTTCCCAGTTGTAATTAGGTCGCACAGAAAATGAGTTCACAGCAAAAACTAATATTATCCCATCCTCACAGCATGTGCTAAAACTCAGCAACTGATGACAGAATTAATCTTCACCATAGATAAAGTATAGATGTTTACTAATGAACCCTTTCCTCTGATCAAGCAACTAGGACAACTGCTTCTAAAGTTGGCTCTGCTTCCTTCAGTACTAGAGAAACTCTCTCAACATCTTCCCTTTTACATCAGCTGCTTCTTCATCAAAGGTGAGGCACTTGCACATCAATTCCTAACTCGTAGAGCTAACCAATAAGTCTTTGATGACTAAGATCACTCATGCATAAAAAGTGGTGCAATCCAAGAGCATCCAATAGACCTCCCCCAGGCCCCACCTCCACAGTCTTGCCCAGACTACGAGACTCTGATAGCAAGCACCGTGCAACTCTGAAGCAGGTCCCAAGCCCACCATGGGCTGACAGGTTGTCATCATGCATCTGCAGCCTCTCTGGCCTACTCTCAGGGATGCTCATCTCCAGGAACCCTGCTGACCTCCCCAAACTGGGCACCCTCCCACACTACCTCCCAGCTCCCTTTTCTTCCCACAAGACAGGCACAGAATAACCAGTTGGACTGGAGGGATTTACAGGTTTCAAAAACCCATTTTCCAAAATTGCTCATCATCCAACTAGTGCTCCATACCTAGGCTATGCAGGATGCAGTGTTCTGCTTTGTGTCCATACACCAGGACCCGTGATCAGACCTAGGGCTGAATTTATTCTTGATAGCTTTTAGCAGACTTGCCATGAGCTGCCCTCATGCTTTACAGCACATTCCTAAGTTTCTAGCACCTAGTTAAGTTCTTTTATTTACTTCACAGCCACCTTCAAATGCTGCCCTACCTACAGCAAGGACTTGCTATACAGTCTCTTGAGAGCAGACCACCAAACGGTTTCTCTATAGCTTACAATGGTATTTCAAATCCAAATCAAATGCACTTGCATACACAGACAACAGAGACAGAGTAATGAAAGCACAAAAATGTGCAACATATAACGAGGGCAGCTCACATCTAGTGTGTACTCAGTGTAATTACCCTGCAAAAAAGAACTTGAATTTATGTCATTATGTCCCAGCAAGACAGACAGAAAATCATTATAGCACAGAAGGTTTACCGTGCTTCCGTTTTGTTCAAAGCAGCAAATGTAAAAGAAGTCAGTTTTCCTTGACAGACTTTCAGTGAGGTACAGCTTGTTAATGATGGTATGATACGTAGCTCAGCTCAAAGAGAATGTTTTGTTTTCATGAACAAGTATGGAGCCAAGAGATGCACAATGCTGATAACCAATGTCTTAATGAGGGATGTGGAATAAAACTGAACTGGACCAATTTTTTTATAATTTGCAGGCTCCCATGGGTCAGGCAAGTCACTTCTCTATTAAAAAACTATAAAGAGGAACAGTCAAGAGCATTACATTACTGAAGATTTCAACATGAGTCCTCAAAACAAACACCCAGCAGAGCAGAGTGCTATCAGATATAAATGTAATACTCTTGTGTCAGTTAGAAAAATAGAATTCAGGGACAAAAGATGGGATATGCAAAGAGGGAGTACAGAAAATAAAAATAAATGCAATAAGTGCCACACTGAGTGCTGTTGTTCTGAGTCCACACACCTGTAGCAGATGCTTTGGGGAGGACAGAAGGAGATTTGTAGGGTTCTCCCAGAACAGTCTTCCAGGTTCTCATGACCAGCAAGCTTAGGGACAGCTCCTGATGGAAACCACACTTGCACTACCATGCTTAGGGGCCAAAGCAGTTATAGCTGCATGGCTGTTTCAGGCATAAGTAGCATCTATTATAACATTTTTCTCTTTAACATTTCCATTGTACATGGCACAGAGAGGACAGCCTGTGAGATGGTTCAAGCAGTAACTGCATAATAGACAGGGACGCTGTGATGAAATGAATGCTGTTTAAATGAAAGATGACCCAGGGACATCTTATGCCTCCACATTGTAGAGCAGGTATGACAGTCTTGTGGTTGAAGCTGGTACCATGTCAATTTTCTGCCACTGGTAGCAATGTCTCAAACATTTTGGAAATTAGTTTCGGAGCAGGACAGGACCACAAACAACCTATCTTGCAGTTACCTTGGGTTTTGGTCTTTATCTTACCATTCATCTTCTGACAGTCAACCTTATAATCTCTTCATGAAGTATACATGACTTTATTTAAAATTACATGGGTGTCTCTGGGTTTAATTCCTAATTAAATCTTATTTTAGTCTTCTTATATTTTTATCTTGGTGTTTCCAATTCAACAGCTCTTGAAAGGATACACAGAACTAGCACAGTAAAGTCAGTGCCCATAATGGTACTATCTCCCTTTAAAAGGGGATAGGAAAGCAGGAGAAATAAAATGATCTTAAGACTCCCCATAATCTGCAGCAAACCAGCTGAAAAGAAATTAAATCAAGTTTTAAGCTGTTGATGAGATCTGCTTCTTTCTTCTTAGTATTAAAACTGGTAACTCCTTAGCTGATTAACAGCCACTGATGTGTGAAAATAGTCTTTAAATTAAATTGGATGCTAGAAAAAAAATTATTTTTAGACACAGCAAATATGCCATAAACAACTTGCTAGTGTTAGGTACAAGTGGGATGTGTTTCTGTTAGTAGCACATCCATTATTAGCAAATTAATTTCACTCTTTTTATTTTTAACAGCAACCACAAAATGTTGGGGGCACAGAGCATTAACATCTGTGCAGCCTCTTGCTTGCACACTTCAAAATGGGCTGGAGAGAGATGGCTGCAATGAAGGATGGCAGCAAGAGCATCTTGGGACAGCAATGGCTTGAGCTGATCCCTTGAACCATCAGCAATCAGATTAGAAACTGTCTTTGTACCTGGGAGATGGCAGCCCACAAGAGCCATGCTGAAAGAAATTGACTCTTGGAACATAGGTGGATGGAGGTACAACCACTGGTCCTCTTAAAATGAAAACTGGCCTCTTTGAACAACGTGCTGAATGTGCTTTACCAGTAGTGGAGACAATAAGTACCAGTGAGAAAACACAACAAAAAACAAGCCAGTAACATCAACCAGCTGGGACTACTTGGCAGATTATTTTCTGCAAGCCTTAACATCAAATAATTTGCAGTTACATCCCTGTAACCATCCCTTACCCGAGCTTTGGCTGAAGACTGCATCCAGTGGGTAGGGCTCCTCTCCCCTCCAGCTGCCCCATGCCTTCGCTGCACACTGACACTAGGCAACACATGCTGGAAGCAAGAACCATCTCTGAGGCTTTCCATACCCACAGGCATGTATATGGTCCTGTTGGTAAAACCACCCAATTATCACAGAATCATAGAACCATTAAGGCTGGAAAAGACCTCCAAGATCACCTAGTCCAACCTTTGACTGAATATCACCATGTCAACTAAACCACAGCACCACATGCCACATCCAGTTGTTTCTTAAACACTTCCGGAGATGGTGATTCCACCATTTCCCTGTGCAGCCTGTTTTAATGCTTGACAACCCTTTCAGTGAAGAAATTCTTCCCGATGTCCAACCTGAACCTCCCTGGGTGCAGCTTGCGGTCATTTCCTCTCATCCTCTCAGTAGTTGCCTGGGAGAAGAGGCTGACCCCCACCTGGCTACAGTCTCCTTTCATGTAGTTGTAGAGAGCAACAAAGCCTCTCCTGAGCCTCCTTTTCTCCAGGCTGAACAACCTCAGCCCACTCAGCCACTCCTCATAGGACTTATCCTTCAGACCCTTCACCAGCTTCACTGCCCTTCTCTGGACACTCTCCAGCACCTCAATGTCTTTCTTGAAGTGAGAGGCCCAAAACTGGGCACAGCACTCGAGGTGTGGCCTCAGCAGTGCTGAGTACAGGGGGACAATCA